TTGGGTTTTTTTGTTGTGTTTTTTTCTTCTTTAATTCCCCTTAGAGTAAAACTGAAAATTCAAGCTTGATATACTGGATTATAGCAGTATTGCTTTTATAATCTGTTTCCTAATTATGCATTTCTGCCTTGATCTGAAAGTGCACCAAATCCAGAGCTGTGAGGCAACTACCTGGATTAGGAGCAGAAGTTTGCCACAGTGGAGAAATCCCACAGTCATAGCTCAGGAGATTTTAGCACGATTTAGTCGCTTACTCGAATTAGCATAAGATCCCAAAGCACTCTTGACCTAAGCACTCCTTAAACCTCAGCACTGCCCAAAGAAAACCTTCGCAAGTGAGCTGGGAGCTTTTCCAATGCCACTGACCACCTAGCTGGATGCACCAGATGATAGGCCTGCCTGCATTCCTGTCTTATCCTAGGTGTCCTGCTGAGCTCACTCAGAGCAGCACACTACCATCCCTTTGCTAGTATCTTCATAGTTGCTAATTTTGTTCTTTTTTTTTTTTTCCTCATAGTCCTTCTGCTTTTCCTCAGGACTTTTTTGTGTCCTCCTCCTCACTGAACTGCCCACGCTGTCTCAGTCTCTTCCTCTGACTTACTTTTCCCCAACATCAGTAAGTCCAACCCTCATCTTGTTCCACTTCTCCACAGCAATGCTCCTTCTCTGTTATTTCCTGATTTTTTAATGCCCATTACACCCTTCTCACCCCATAGCTGTGCTCCATCCAATTGTCCAGCACTTTTTCTCTCTTCAAACAGAAGTCAGCCACCTCCACTGCTTCTCATCCAGACCTGTCTCCACCTGCCCTTCCCTGAGGCTGGGCTATGTGCCTGTCACTCAGCCGTTATCTGCTTTGCTCATCCCTTGCATGCAGTGTTCACTCAATGCTGCGTTTCCTGCTCGTGATACCTGGGGCCTCCCTCCAGCCAGCAAAGTGGTAGCCTGGCAGGAAATCATCTATATTTTATACATTAGTTTAGAAATTAGAAGATTAAAATACTTTGTATTTTCATATTAATTTATATTAGTACTAAAAAGGCTATACTAGAGCTATTTAGTCTACCACATCCGTATCAAGGACTCAGTTTTGATCTGAGGGAACATGACAGCTTGAGCAAAGTTCTTTGTTCAGACACCATACAACATACCTTAGCAGTGCACAGCGTGCAGCTGTTACAACACTAATTGAAATATGTTTTTAAATGTATCGTGTTTCTGAACATTTGTGGGAGAATTATTTTTTTCCCCTGTGTGCAAAACCCAGTATTTCATCCATTGAAAAAGAGTACCTAATCCCTACAATGGATTAGTAGGCCATAAAATAAAGCTGAAGTAAGGTATTTTACACTGGGGATGGGGATAAATCTACAATTGTAGGTTGATGAGGATAAGTCAACAGCTGTAGGTAGATAGGGAGAACCTAGAATTGTAGGTAGGTGGGGAGACCTACACCTGCGGGTGGTTGGGAAGAACCTACAACTTTAAGTAGTTCTGGCTGCTTTGTCAGATATTTAGTTAGCATGAGGTAAGAGCATAGTTGTGCAATATCATATCAGTGGACTAGATGGGTTGAAAGAAAACAGATTTGAACATCCCACCCCACATTTTACCCAGTTTCATTTCAGACGACCTGTGTCATCCATGGGGATTGAGCTGAGAGATACCCATGGCACCTCACATGAGGGCTCACAGAACGCTCTGTGTTATCAGGTAGATGTGTAAGGTAGATGTCACATTTTGCAGTGAAACTGAGTGATAAATCTCTCTCAAATATCTGAAGGCAATGTTTGGGCTCTTTTTTATTCCACCATCTGCAAAACGAGGTTCCCACGGGGGCCTGCACTCAATTTACAGAGGGGAAATTATAACTAATCTCTTTGCAAAGTCTCTAGAATTGCGTTTCTGTCAAAACAAAACAACAAAAAACCTCTAACAGTAAGTATCTCTCAGTCTTCCTGGGCTAAAAGCCTTTGAATGAAAAAGCTATGAGTTTCCCATTTGCAGTGGCTTAAAAGTCGTAAGACATCAGACCATAAGCCGTCACTGGTCCCAAACTAAATATCACCCATTCTTTGCCTAAGGCAAGTGGGTCTTTTTTCTGTAGGAGGGGGCCAAACAGAAATCCCACTCTTTGGAGAAAAGAAGGAAACATTTCTGTGACAGTTTGTTTTTATTTTTTGAAGGCAGCTCTTTTGAAGTTGCTTGGGGGTTTGGATGTTAGCTGTAGTCCCAATGGAGATGGATTAGTGGCCAGAGCACAGCGAAGTGGTCAAAGGTGCCAGATAAATGCAATTTATATATAATTGCCCAAGCTGCACCTGTTCCATTTTCAGTAGAAGACTTTGTCTACAGAACAGATTTCACAAGCATAGAATATATCCTTTTTTTTTTTAATTTGAGTGTAAAAGAGGGAATTCTAAACTTGCATCAGAGTAAAGCAAGAAAAAATAATCTTTAAATAGCATGTAAATTTTTTATGAATCAAGCTCTAAATGAAGAAAACTCCTGAGCTGGGAATTCAAAATACTAGCCAGAGAGAGCTGATTTGCTACCAGGCTCAAGAACAATATTTAGTTTACAGAATCAATCTGGAAATAAAACTAGTGCTTGCATCAGCATGAAAGCTACAAAAATATAAAAGAGGTCTTATTAAAATATACAGTGGAAAAGGAAAGGATGAAAGCACTAGCACAGTTATGAGGCCCTCGACAGCCCACACAAGTAATAAAATAGAATATGATGTAATATAGAACAACAATGAAAGGATTTAAAATTTCTAGGTAGGATTCTGAAAAACTGTTTCCAGGTTTTGTTGCAGAGCAAGCACACTGCAAGTTTCCTTGGGAAGCTACGATAAAGCTGGTGTGTAGCAAACATGGGTGTTGACGACAGCAGAACAAATTCACCTTAACTTCTGAATCAGCCCAACACAGCACTGATGACCCAAGGGTGCTGGGTTAGTAGCCAGGAACCAGGATATTTCTCTTATTTCCAGATGCTCGCCTTACTCCTGAAGCAGCCCAACACAGCACTGATGACCAAGGGGGCTGAATTGCTACCTAGGAGCTAGGATATTTCCCTTATTTCCAGATGCTCCATTCTGTTTGCTTTCTTGCTCACTTACCCACTATTGTTTGCCCTCCTTATCTGCAACGCAAATATTTTTTTTGCTCGTCAGATGGTACCAATGCTTTACCATGAAGGGAACCATCTTCATCTTTAGTACGGAAATTTTCTTGAACCTTGTGCTAAGCAGCATGGATAAATCTGAGATTAGACACATGCAGTATCCACTCAACTAATTTCAACCTGTCCAAAGTTAGGATGAGTTCATAAGACTTCCCAGGAAAATACTGTGAGCACTGAATTCCTGTGCTACCTGCCATGCTCTGTACCCTAATTACAGTGCTGCATTCCCTGGTTTTAAGGAAATAGGATCTTGTGAAGCTCAAATTCTCAGAGGGACAATATAAATTCTCTTAAAATTAAATGTCATCCCAAAATTAACTTGGCAGAATTTGGTCCTGCAACAAGCAGTGGCTTTTACACTAAATTTTAGATTCAGATGCCAGAAGCAATGCATTTCACTCATTGCAGTAACACAATGAATTTTCCTTCTCCACATGAAGCTAGAAGCTATTGCAGGATACTGGTAATGCTGTATAAATTAAAAGTTATGGATTGTGAAATCTGGGCCCCTTTTCCTACTGTATTTGAGCTGTGGCAGGCATGGAGTACAGAGGTAATGGCAGAGCTCCCTGATCTGCATCCACATGATCCTACTAGAAGTTCTTGGGTTGACACAAAGAACTGGCCAAATCCCATTATTGCCCTGGAAGGGAAACAGCTCCACTGCAATACTTCAGTGACATTCCTGTTTTCTCTTTTACAGCAGTTGGTGTAACACATGATTAGGGCATCTCATGTAGTTTCATCTGTCAATGTTATTTTTTGCTCCAGATGATTTCTCTGGGGTAAATATTTAGGGGCTGCAAAGCAGGAACATGGCCTCTTTCTGAATCTCTCAACCCTCATTCTAGCATTGTTTGCAATGGGTTTGTGAACCAGGAAAAGTGGTGACAAATAAAAATCTAATTGTTTAAATATAAAAAAAAAGTAAAAACAAAAAAAGCACAAAGATTTTTTATTTTTTTTTCACTCAGGAAAAGAACATCAGTATAAAAAACATCCAGTACTTGTGTTTCTCCAGGAAAGACAGGAAGTGTTTCTCCTAAAAAATATGTTTTTAATGAAGTAAAAACAGATCATGATCAGCCAGTCAGAAAACAGCAACACACTCAGAAAATAAGCTTTTTTTCTTTTTTAGGTTTCAAAAAGTTGACTGAAAAATCTGGGCCTACGCTTAGAACGATCCCAAATGCAGAAAAGGCTGATACTTCCAATTTGGTTCCTTCCAATGAACAGACTGCAATTTCAAACCTATATTATAAATGCAAGCTTTTTTCAAAACTATCAAATTGTTTTGAAATTCACTTCAGATGCACGCTAAACCACTAGCCGAAGTCCCAGTGCATTTTGCCTCCTGAAGGCTGTGGAGCTGTAATGGAGCTAGCTCAATCAAGGTCTTCACAGCTCCAACCACCTCTATCTAACATTAGCCTGATGTGTGGAGGATACAAGCAAGAATGTCATTAATAATACTTCACAATTTATACAGCAAGTTCCATCACAGCATTTCAGCCTGCACAAATTAAGATTTACAGCAGCCCAGAGAGGTGGGCTGGTATCATTGCCCTCTATTTCAAAGATGGGCAAAGGTGAAAGAAGGTGAAACAATTTGCTGAAATTCGCAAAGTCTGTGGCAAGGCAGAAAAGAGTGCAGTTCTCTCAGCCTCAGCGCCTGTGCCTTTGCCACAAGACCATCCTTCCTGTCTCTAAATGCCACACTCAAGCTTGATGATGTGCTGTAGTTCTAGCGTATTAAATATGACACGGTATACACGTTCTGGATCATAAGGCTGAGTCCAATAAAACTGATCGATGTAAAGTTGAGAAACTGAAAGGGACAGAGCAAAGAAGAAGAAAAGTACCTATGCTGCAGCTGTATGGTATTTTTCTAGGCAGTAGGTTCCCGTGCTACTTAAAGACCAGAACATATTTTTGCTTTTACAAATGCAGTTTATTTTGCAAATCAAGGTGATTGCACACATTTCAGCTTGTCAAATTTTCAGCCTTTCAACCATATGTCTGTCGACCTTATGGACTACCAACTTTATGGGATTCAACCATATGTCCAGATCCCAGTATATATGAAGGCCAGTTCTAACGTGAGAGCTTTACGGTACTAGTGTAGTAAGCCATAATGTTTGCAGATGGCTGTAATAAAATCATTCAGGAGAGAAAAGGTGCAGGGATGTAAAGCCTCGTAGTGGGAAGCACATTTCAACACTGAACTAGCCGATCTAGTCCAAAACATTGCTTTTAATTTTCTTTCCTAATCCCATATGTATTTTTATTTTCTTTTTTATTTTCCTGTGTGAGTTTATCTTAAAATTTTGAAGAAAGTTCAAGAAGGAAAATAACAGAATAAAGATTTTTTTTAAAGGCACAGTCCACTTCTGAATTCTAATTTTTCTGATATGAAATGCTAAATAGTTATGTGCAGCCTGGAAGATGTATTAATAGAGAGGTATATGTTTTTTACCATCATATGGTGAGACTGAAGGATGATGTGACTTGCTTTGTTTCCTGAATTGGGACTCAGCTTTCAAAGTTAAGGAAAGTTTCCTCCTGAGTAAGCTTTTTCTAACTCTAGGAAGTTGGTGTTTGGTTTATGTCCTGCTGCACAATAATTCACATGATAATTCACATTCCTTTGTCTAATATAACTTGATATCTCTATTATATGGGGAGCTCCAGTCCCATTTTCCCCTAAGTGAAACATGCTGAGCTGATGTATCCCTCTTGGAGAGCTCTCCACCTCCGGGCTCATGCCTGTCCTGACTGAGAGTGGGAAAGGGAACACTGCCTGCAAGGGGAATCATGGACAGCATAGGTGTGATAGAGGGTCATTTTCAAACAAAAATATTTTTTAAGCTGACAATCCGTGGTGAGCTTTGGCAAGGTTCCTTGAAAAAAATCAGTCCTTACTGGGGAAAGAAAGAAGCCTTCCTTGGGCATTAACTGAGAAGCAAAAAAGTAAAATGAAACCCGCCTGTGCTGCTGGTGTGCAAGATCACAGCAAGAGCAATCCCTGTGAGCAGTTTACTTTCAGATAACTCAGCCAGAGCGCTGCTAATGCCAGTGGAAGTTCTTCTATAGGATTAAATGGTGCAGGGTCAGATAACGTCTAGGAAACAAATATACTGTGACCCTTCCTTCCTGCACCAGACTTTGTGTTGACCAAGTTGCAGCTCTTTCCAAGTGCTAGGGCTTGCTTTATTTGAAGAGGGCTTATCCTGCAAGATGCTGAGTGCCACCATTGCTACCATGCTCAGCATGACACATCACATAGCACCTGCCAGGATTCACCCCGTCACATCCAACAGCTCTTCACCAAGCAATTACTATTAAAAAGAATTAAACAATGTGTTAAACTGAGCAAAAGATGTTCTTTCTGCCCTATTGAAAGCCTCTCCACTTTCCAAACCATTCACTGCACAAGCGTACTTGTGAAAGACTGTGAAGAGCACAGTAGGGACCTCAACCCTCCCCTTGGCACGCGCGGCCATCCTACCTGTGTGCTCGTATTTGTGTCGCAGCAGGGAACTGCTCTTCTGGAATGTCTTGTCACATAAGTCACATGCATACATGCCACTTTCTGTCTTCTTGATCTTCTTTCGGGACAGACAGGAGTCGGAGTCCGTCATGTCATCAAGGCCGGACATGTAGTCTGGGGTTCCATCAAGCAATTCTCCCTGTGAGGGAACCACCCGTCAGTGACGCCCATTTCTACCACCGCGCCTTCCCATGGAGGAACCACCCATCCAAGAGAAGTCAAAATTAGGATGGTAGTCCTCTCAATTTAGGAACCCGTTGGAAATGAAACATCTGATGAGAACTGTGGAAAAAATGAGAAGCCTTCTATGTCTTAGACCAACTTTCTGTCTTTGAGCACTTAGCAGTAGTTTTACACAATTGGACCACATTTATAATCTCAGCACTACATATTTTCAAGAAGCAGAAAAAGCAAAGGGGAGGTTCTCTGTGGACAGCAAAAGGTATTGTAATATTTTACAGGTGTAAGAGTAAGCAACACCTAAGATCATTCCTTACAAAACACAGAAACTTGGTTATATTCTGTATCTGTAGAAAGGTTTTAATTGAATTTTATATTTAGGTACAAATGTTATTATTATGCAATCCATTTAAATGTATGTCTCTCGACTAAAGGCCTCAAGCTATATTTTTATATTTAATTTTGTAATTTGAAATAGGGAATATTAATAACACTTTTTATCAATGTTCTATCTGTGTTAAAACAGCCTTCAGCATTAAGCAATAATGAATGTGGATCAGTAAATTATTAAATTTCTTGATATTTATTTTGTCTTGATCCAAAGAGAGTGCAAACTTGCATGATAACATACATTTCCATTTGCTATCACACTGTTCAGTTTTCTTAGACTAGGCTTGCACTAATTAATATTAGAGAAGATTAAATAGGCTTAAATACATTTACAAAGAGGGCAGATGTACTGTAAATTGGAATAGTGGAACAGCTGTTATGGAGGTGCAGTGCTATTTATGCTCCTATTGTGCAAAGAGGAATTGCAGCCTGTAATGTAAAACCGTACCTGATTTTCACATCTGAAACCATAAAACATTTACTAGTCAGTAAAATTACTAATAGACCATAATAGGACATAAGGGAACATGCACAAATGTAAAAAAAAAAAATAAATCTATAATCAGTTAATCTCATTTAACTAAATTCAGTGTGTTATATCTGAACAAACCCAGAAGAAAGATATAAAAGTATGTGACTTTCATAAAGCAGCTCTTTGCTGTAGGAATGAAAGTGGCAAAATCCTTTGCTGCTCATGTATTGACTCTGAGAAAAGGATTAAATGTTGTACCCAGGCATGAAGAAGTGCCGACACAGATTACATGTCCAGGGAAAGACTTCCTCTGCGATTAAGATCCCTAGCTGCTACGTCTCCAAATAATTTTGTTTAATCTCCAGGTTTTTTCAAAGCTGTTCCAGATGACTGGCAGGATTAGAGGACTGGTAGTCTGTGAAGGGCAGTAGGTAGGCTGAAGGAAGGAGCTATGGGGAAACAACATGTCAATGTTTCTTATTCCCCAGACATTCATGAGAAGACAGAATGCCTTTCTCATGCATGGTGGGTGAACAACCCCCCAGAAACACGGAGAAGGAAGCTTTGAGGGCTTTCAATGGGATACAGCTCCTACAAGTCCATATGGACCTTCACTTACAAGGACACAGCTTTGCATCCAAGTGTGAAGGTGATTCCCAAGAGGTCTTCCACCGCTCCTTTACCCCACACTCTCCTGTAGAGATCAGTTTCCCTGCAAAGTTTCACTTTGTTTTTTTTCCTGCAGGATGGAACTTTTCATGCATGTTATTATTATTATTTAGACAAAATTCTAAGAAGAAATGACTAAGTGCTTAACAGAATAAAACCATGTGTTATGCCTATTCAAAGGTATTAATATTGTTTCTGAATCCAAGTAGAGGTACTCTTAAGGTAATTGCAGTTTGTTTTCCTATTGCACTGCAGTTTTGCAAGTTCAGACTAAAATAAACTCTACTAATTTTGTTGCAAATGTTGAATATAGCTTCAGTTTTTTTCTTGTGTAAGAGGACATATCACAAAATACTAATTTCTTGTCTTTCAAAGGAAAATGGTTGCAACAATTTACCTGAAATCCTTGTTTCCGCTGGTACTTTCTTCTTTGCTGCATATCAGCAAAAGTAGCTGCTCCAGTTGGGTAAGTGTAGGCCATATGTGGTAGGAAGCTCATCTGATCTAGTCCTGGGTATGGTCGCAGTCCAGGAATACTGGTCTGGACTGGTGGCATAAAAGTGGCTGGGGGAAATGCGCTCTGTGGGGGAAGTGTTGTGTATAAAGGTTTGGCACTAAATGGGTTCATACCAAATACTGGGTTAGTGCTTTTATCCAGATTATTTGAATTAGA